TTTTCTTTCTGCTCCTTGGTCAGATCATGTGGCTCGGGTTCCTCTTTCTTCGCTCCTTCTTGGATTATCTCCTCCTGAATTGACTCTAGATTTAAGATCTCCGGCGCTATCTTGAAACTCTTCCAAAAATCCACTCCCAGGTAAAACTCTTGTTCCAGCGATGGACATAAAAACAAATTCATCACTACCGTGTCCTTTTTATATGTCATCGGTATCGTGACTTTTCCTAGGATCAGTTGAGTTGCCCCATTCGCCGTTTTAACTTTGGCATAATATGGTTTCCAGATGATATCCAGAGTTTCTAACAGCTCTCTGCAACCTTTTCCCAGCAAGCTTACGGATGCTCCTGAGTCCAACAGACCCCTTATGGTCCTTCCGGAAATCTCGATCACTACATATGGCCTTGGGTCCGTCTCCCTATCCTATCTTCCCATTACATTAATTGTTTTGCACTTGGAATCGCTCTTGCTTCCTTCTTCGGAACCGGTCTCTCGCTTTCTTCACCCTTTTTAAGACAAGCGTCATCCCTGCCAGTTGATTCTCCCCGAATATCCTTGCGCGTGCTTCCCTGTATCGGCGCACCCTCTCGCTTAGGGTCAGATGTAGTCGGCCTGGTCCCTGCACGCTCGGTTGAGTGCCCTCACGGTATTCTCCTCCTAACTGACTCGGGGCCTCCTCTCGGGCTCCTTCGTGGAACGCGGTTCGCCCGTCGCAGCTGCGTTCCTCTGGGCGTTTCCCGTCCTGCAATTTGGACATTTGCGTGTCACCGTGTTCGGCAACCCGCATCCGTCTGGAATGCTTTGAGCGTTGTTCCGGCCCTGGACATATGCTCCAACTTGGTCAACACTACGGGATCTTGCTCGGTTTCCTGGTCCTGCAAGGTTAAATCCACCCTGGGCATTCCCTACTCCTTGGGTCCTTCCATCGCCGGGTCTTCCCTAAAGCCGTTGACTCGACTGGAATGTAGAATTCTGGCCAAAAGCTTGCCAGGAGTTCCTCTGCTGCTCGCCCTGTCCTAGGACTGGTTCGCGCTCCTTTTCCGGTTGCTGGCCTTCCTTCAGATCCCTCTCGGTGTTCCCAGACCTGTTCGATGATGATGAAGAAGCTGCGTCTCGTTGATCCATCCTCTTCATCATTTCGGCAAAACCTGCTCGCATGCACTGGTCGATGCGAATGTCCATCAGGTGCGTCATGTCGACTCGGATCTGTTCTTGTGAAACCTGAATCAGTTCCTGCATTTCCCGCTTATGCATCGACCTGTATGCTTCGGCGTTCTCCAAACTGTTTTGTTCCTGAATCGGGTCCAGTTGGATATTCGAGTACCCGTGTGGAGTCCCTTCTGGGTCTAGGTTCAGGATCCGTGGAACTCTCCTCCCATGTTGTTCGCTTATTCGGCCACCGACCGACCCTGATATCAACCCTTCAGCACCCTTTTCTCCATTCCCTGCCTTAGCATTACCTTTGTCAGCCATTCTACGGGAATATGCCTAGTCACTGGTGCTAAACTAATTAATAAATCCCAATCAACAATAAGTAAACAAAAATCAATGCGGTCATTGTTCCCCGGGTCGTGAGTGGTGTGTGTGCTCTTATTGATCCTTATGCCATCTATTTGTGTGTGAATGAACAATTATTTTCAAAACTATACAAACACTGTCGCCCGGCCCGTCAACTAGCGCAAATCATCAATTGGATTGACGCCGGAAAACATATAACTAATTAATTAATTTCTTTTGCTTTCAGACGGACTCATCCTGCGTCTTAAAAGATGCTACTTCCTGCTCTACGCTTGGCAGCCGGGGTCATCTTCCCATCTCACCTGTTCGCTTCCAAAGGCTCACGATCCGTCACCTTGGGTCGGCAGATGTCGCAGAACTTTCCGGTCCTCGCAAAAAAAAACAATTAGTAACTTTATTGCATTTAATTTTTTTTTTTTTTTATGTCGCAGTTGGTCTTCCCTCTTTTCCGCTGAACGCAATATGACAAGGCTAGAATACCTGGCACAGTCGTCAGTTATTTTTATACCCTTGCAGGGTATTATAATTTCAATCAGAAGTTTGCAACGCAGTGAAGGAGGCACCTCCGACTATATAAAGTATATATATTCTTGATCAGGATCAACTGCCGAGTCGATCTAGCCATGTCCGTCTGTCCGTCTGTCCTTCTGTCCGTCTGTCCGTTTCTACGCAAACTAGTCTCTCAGTTTTGAAGCTATCTGAATGAAACTTTATAGTTAGCCTTCTATATACTCTCATTCGTATATATGTCGGAACGGGCCGGATCGGACGACTATATCATATAGCTGCCATAGGAATGATCGGAAAATTTTTACAAAAAATTTTTTAACTTTTTCAGTTTTCAATAGAATTGGATCAAATTTGAGATATAGCCATTTTACCATACTTTACAATTTTGCATAAAATTTTATGAAAATCGGACTACTAAATCAACTTTTTCAGTTTTCAGCTGATTTTCATCAAATTTGAGGTATGGCCATTTTATAATTTTGTAAAATTTCATGAAAATCGGACGACTATATCATATAGGTGCCATACAAACGATCGTTTGATGTAGAGTAAAATGCATATCTGTGAATGTAAAACTGCAAATATAATATGTATAGGTGAATGAAATGAAAGCAGGCATTACTTCATTGTTTTTTAACACAAATATATATAATTTACATTGTATGGATTCCTAGTCATAGAAGTTCTATCTCCAAGGGTATATAAACTTCGGCGTGCCAAAGTTAGCTTCCTTTCTTGTTTTCTTTCTTTTTATTTGCAACTTATGGTCTTATTCCCTATTCCTTCTTTTACTTATGGCTACATCACAAATTTATATAGCATATGGTAGAATTGTTCCCTTTATCACAGTTCGCAGATCAGCTTCTTATCAGCCGCTGATGTCGTCCTTATGACTCCGGAGCAAATCACAAAAGTGATACACCTCTGTGGCCACTTGTATATTTGTAATTAGTGGGTCCTTCTTTCTGGCGAGAGACCTCTCGAGCGATCGCCCGCTCTTATCCAGACCCATTAACTAGAAATACCCTTCTTTATATCCTCAGCAGGATATAGTGTTGCCATTCAAATTGGGCGCCATATTGTTATATCCCTATTAATGGACCTGCGTGGCATTTGGGCTGGCACCGGCTAGCTCTCTCTTCGGGCCATGGATCCCCTAACCCTGCCCGCCACACACAACAATACATTTCGTCGATCATCGACGTTTACACAACACTATACTCCGCGCGGTTTATTTCAAACACGCGGAAACAAAACAACTTCATCTATAGTTCCTCACACACACACAACGGACCTGGCTTCTCCTGATGAACTGGAGGCCACATGCTCATCCCTTCCCTACCATGCAGCTGCTCGCATGAGTCCAACCTTTTTGCTTGCAACTGCCCCACACACACACATACTCATTATCCCGGTTCACTCTCCTTTCCCCCACATTAAAGTCGCTACTCCATATTCATACTTTGACTCTTCATCTTATATTTATTTTTACAGGCAGTATCATGTAATTAAGTGATGTGCAGGTTAATTCACCTGTTAAATTGCTTCTCTCTTTTTGCAGATTTTTGGTCTAGATTTTCTTTTACAAATTTTCTTCAATTTACTCAATTCCCTTTAAAACATTCGGATCCTTCATAGCCGTAAGAGCTCTCCAGGGGGGGGGGGGTCGCAGGGGAAATATAAATGGAAAAAGCCAAACCCTATAGACAACCAAAAATTGTGCAAAAACAGAACAACTTCACTGCTACACCTGACTGAAGTATTTTTAATATATATGTATATGGATATAGAATAAATAAATAAATAAATATAAGATAAATTAATGGATAATAAATATGTGATAAATAAGAAATTGTAAAGAAATAATAAAAAAAATACTAAAATCGTTGAAAAACGTAACGAATATATATATAAATAAATACTTAAAACTAAACGAAAATATTCCGCAAACAGACACAAAAGAACACATTTAAACTTAACCGAAAAAAAAAAAAAAAAAATTGGCTGAAGCTGCAAAGCTCTCGGTATCGCCACTCTGAAGGCGTGTCGGCCGTCCTCGACGATTCTCCCTCCTTACAAATTTTTACAAATTTATAATGTCGGTGTTGGCGCACATATGCCTGCCGACTCTTTACCGGTTGTTTTATACGGGGTTATGTTTAATGTCCCAAGGCTTTTAATTAGTGGCCACCAAACCGAACCAAATAAAAAAAAACATGGGATTGACCGATTTTGTGACAGCCAGAATTTTGTGACGGCCAGAATTTTGTGACAGGCCGGAATTTTTCTGTGAGGACTGGGTCTGGTCGAGCCTGGAAATGAGAGCCATGATAATAGGGCTTCACCTCCGGACCACGACCACTTACCTTTTGAGTTTTCTCGAACCGGCTTCCCGTCCTCGCTGATCCTCTGCTCACGTCCAAGTGATTTCGTAGCCTTTCTGTTATTTCAAATTTACCACTCAACGTTCTTTTTTTTTTTTTTTTTTTTTTGTTGAGTGCAGGCGCACAGAGTTCTTCACTTTACTTTACAAAAATTATTTTCACTTTTCATTTAAAATTTCGTGACCCGCCTTCTCGCGTAGCTTGGAACAAATTACCCGCTCTATCCCCTTGTGGTTTCTTTTCACCTTCTCTTTTCTTTTCTGGTTGGAACCGTTGTTTCAGATTTGAACCATTCCAGGTCAAGAACCTTTTTCCTCATAAGGTGGTGCATGCTACCGATCAGCTATTGGGCCAGGGTGGCATCCCTGAGCTAATCGTATAACACCCCTTATGTGGGTCTATCAATGCTATCGATATTTACGTGGCCATAACAAAGTTAGCTTAATTTCTTGTTTATAAAATCTTCCTGTCAGTTTTATACCCTTGTAGGTGGAGGTGGAAAAACATCGATACCAACATCAATGCCATCGATGTTTTCGAAATATCGGTAACATCGATGTTTTGGCTGGGAATCATGTATGTTGTTTCATCTCTACTGTGCTTCGTTCAAGAAACCCGTAGAAATTGGAAGAATAAATTACTTTTCCAAATTTGTAATAGAATATTGCAAATTTAGCGTGACTTGCCGGTGGTGTCGTGGATGACAAGGATAAATATCTGAAAAGTAAGTTTTTTAACTCTTGAATAAGACTTTTACGTGAGTACGTATGTATGTACTTATGTACATGTGAATCTACATATGTATGTATGTACCCTGCAGTACCGCGTGTCATCAATAGGCCACAGTCATCTACATGTCATCAGCACGTTGATGACTGCGACTTCTACTGAGGTGACGCTCTGCCGACTGCGACTTCTACCGAATCGACCCTCTGCCGACGGCAGTCGTCGGCAGTACCATGGCCCGGCCCTTGAGAAATTTGCTGATGATTAATTGTTGATTAATCATCGACTTTTTGTTGATGAATTTTTATTGATGACATCCTAGGACATGCCCATGTTAAATAAATCAACACTTTGTATGGGCTGTCATTGATGAAAAATCAACAGCACCCCCTTGACTGTTGGTGAAACGTTGATTTTTTTGTTGATGACAGGTACTGCAGGGTATATCTGAGTGTATGCATACTTACACGTGCTCGTATGCATGCAGTTTTACTTTCCTATTGAATTTACATTTAATAGTTTATTGGTTTTATAAAAGCAATTATTGAAGGGCCAGCTGCTAATGAATTTCGCAAACTTTCTTTTCTTTGAAATTCTTGACGGACTATTTGGGTTTGTGAGGTACATATGTATATTACTATTTTCTTAATTATCATGCCATTAAATGCATGGTAAATTTTATCCCTTTTCCTTAACTTTGTAATGTGTTCTACTATTGTTATGTGGTTTGGAAAATGGATCTATAACTGTTAGATCGATATGTTGTAAAAAATACTCCCTTTTTTATGTGAATAAAATTAATTTTTTTCTGATGTGGTTTTGGATTATTTTTATTTATTCCTAATTAGGTTTCTTTCGTAATTGATTTTCTTACAAAGTCCAATTGGACCAATGACGATTGACTATTTGCACTAATTCTAACCAATTTGGGTAACACATTTTGATTTTCAAATGATTTCATGTTTGTTGAATTCCTGAACGCATACTTTCTTGTATATGATAAAACGATATATTTTTAACGGGCCCAGTTTCATTATCCATGTCTGTGTCATTGTGAATTTTATAAAATAGAACTGATTATTATTTGCATACAGCTCTAATAGTTTTTCGTGGAGCACATTGTAGAAGGATTTGAGTATTATCAAATTTTTCCGTCTTTTATACAGTGACGCACTAAACTGTTGGCACAGTTGCAAACTTGAACTTTAAGTGCTATTTCCAGGCGTATACATTATTTTATTGAATACATTTTTATACCCTTGCAGGGTATTATAATTTCAGTCAGAAGTTTGCAACGCAGTGAAGGAGGCACCTCCGACCATATAAAGTATATATAAAAAAAAGTATATATAAAAAATTATAACAATTTCAGTTTTCAACAGAATTTGATCAAATTTGACCATTTTACTATACTCTACAATTTTTTATAAAATTTTATGAAAATCGGACAACTATATCATAGAGCTCCCATAGGAACGATCGAGAAATTAAGACAATTAAAAATTATAACATTTTCAGTTTTCAACAGATTTTCATCAAATTTGAGGTATAGCCATTTAAATTTTGTGTAAAATTTTATGAAAATCGGACGACTATATCATATAGGGGCCATACAAACGATCGTTAGATGTGGAGAAAAATGCACATCTGTGACTGTAAAACTGCAAATATAATATGTAAAGGTGAATGAAATGAAAGCAGGTATTACTTCATTGTTTTTTAACACAAATAAATAGAATTTATATTGTTGGGATTCCAAGTCATAGAAGTTCTATCTGCAAGGGTATATAAACTTCGGCGTGCCGAAGTTAGCTCTCTTTCTTGTTTTAATATAGTTAAATTAAATAATTATGTATAAAATGACCCTATATTTTTAATATATATAAACTTTAAAAGAAATGACCATATTTCGTGACACAAAAATCTTGGCACAGTTATTAGTTTTACTTGATTTATTTTAGACTTAAGGCCTTTATGTTCTTTATTTTTTTTTAAGAAATGTAAAAGAGGATTTTTTTTAAGCACATGGCGTCACAAAGTTTTCAAAAAAAGTTACATTTATCTACAGTTCTTTTGCCATTTGCCTAAATTTTAAGAAAATGGAGAATAAACGAAAATAAACGAACGTAACTCAAAGAAAAATCGTATTGCGAAATAGCCAAAATGATGGAACTAAGCCGGATAAAAGTGACTTGGCGCAAAAGTCAAACACGGCGGCTGAGGCGTGATGGTATGGGGATGCATGTCATGCGCTGGTGTCGGTAACCTGGTGTTCATCGGGGGTATCATGGATAAAGCATATTACCTCAATATTTTGAAAGAAAACTTAAAAAAAAAACTTCAAAGTGAAAAATGCAAAAGTTCGTCACATTTATGCAGGACAATGATCTGAAGCATTCTGCTCACGATGTGAGCATGTTGCTCACTCACTATAGAGCACATGTACTGCCACATCCACCACAGTCACCGGACCTAAATCCGATCGAGCATTTGTGGTAGGAACTCGATAGAAGAATGAAAAAACACAACATTTCATCAAAAATGACATTAAAAAGGCATTATTGGAGAAATTGCTGATTATTTTAGCAAAAGTTACTAAAAAATTGGTGCGTTCTATGCCCAGACGTCTTGTGGACGTGATTAAACAGAAAAGACTACCGACGAAATATGAATTATTTTAAATTAAAAAAAAAATTTACAAAATTAGATTAAGTGTGCCAAGACTTTTGTTTCACGAAATTTGTTCTGTTTTTTTTAAATTAAAATAGTTTTTAGTACGTTAATGAAAAAACCAAACAAATGGTGCCTTTAAATAAAGAAATGTTTAATTTAACAATGTTAAAAAATAGACCTATTAAAATATCTGAAAAGCCTGGAAGTGGCACTTAAAGTTCAAGTTTACAACTGTGCCAACAGTTTAGTGCGTTACTGTAAATATTTTATATATGTTTGTATAAAGTGAAATTAATTGGGAGTCGAATTAATGTTCCGTCAGTTGACTAAGAACGACGCTAAGAATAAATTTAACAACGGGTTGGTTGCGGTCGCTAGCTGCGGATGTGGATTGTTTATGTGAATATGTGAATTTGTTATATTTCCTGTTGTTGAAAAATCATGTTTATCTATAAAGATTATACTTTTCCCATTTAATTATTTTCCTCTGTTTTACAGTTTATATTGATAATATGAGTTTTGTATGTAATAATTATTTCTTTCTTTTATGGAAGAATGATTGTGTAAGTTTTCTTTACTTGAGTGGACTGCTGCATTATATTTATATCTAATATATTTTCGTTATGCTCGTTTCGTATGTCGAACTTAAAGGTCAGCTACTCTATTTTCCTTTCCTTTTAAGTAGTCGATCTAGTTCTAACCATCTTTCTGGGTGAAATGTCTATCCTTTTATGTTCTAAATGTAAAAATTTTATGGGTTGATAATTTGTAATAAAAACGTTTATGCTCCACAGAATTCTTAAAAATTCTGTATAAATCTTTTCATTATTATTCAGTGTTATAGTCGCAAAAAAATTGGGTGGCTTTCCTGGGATAACACATCACAACATGATGCGTCAGAAGTGAGTGTATATGTATATCAAAGTATGGGATGCGAAGTTATCACCTGTTTCAATTTTTTTATATTTTTTATACAAGCGGGATCTTTATACCCTGGCAAGGTATTATAATTTCAATCAGCAGTGAAGGAGTCATCTTCGACCAAATAATGTCTTTATATTCTTGATCAGGATCAACAGTATAGTCGATATAGCCATGTCCGTCAGTCCTTCTGTTTCTATGCAAACTAGTCTCTCAGTTTTGAATGTATCTGAACAAAACTTTGCAGTTAGTTCTCTATTTACTCTCACTCGTATATATATACGTCGGACCGGGCCGGATCGGACGACTATATCATATAGCTGACATAGGAATGATCGGAAAATTTTTACAAAAAAAATTTTTACTTTTTCAGTTTTCAATAGAATTTGATCAAATTTGAGATATAGCCATTTTACTATACTCTACAATTTTGCATACAATTTTATGAAAATCGGATCACTATATCATATAGCTCCCATAGGAACGATCCAGAAATTAATACAATTAAATGTATAACTTTTTCAGTTTTCAGCTGATTTTCATCATATTTAAGGTATAGCCATTTTATATTAGTCTTAATTTTTGTGTCAAATTTCATTTCAAAAATCTGACGACTATATCATATAGGTGCCGTACAAACGAGACTCATTTTACCCGAAGATCTGTATCATCCGTATCATAGATATGACTATATATATAGGGGCTGACTTACATAATATATCTGACCGCCCAGCCAAAAAGTCATCTGTTCTCGCAAGGCGAACTGAACGACGGCTGAATAATTTTATATATGAATTCAATTGGTCCGATCTATACATGTGCACAACTGCCAGCCGTGGATATTTTTTACAATGCAATAATCTCATATTTTACTGAATGTGTTCCGTAATACTACCCGCCAATCTCGAATAAGCCTTAGTGGTTTAATAAAGAGTTGAGCCGACTTAAAAATAAAAAATCTAGGCTGTATGCTAAATTTAAAATCACCGGTTCTCAATCTTCCCTTTTATCTAATATATCAGCTCGGTCAAACTTTACCGTGCTAAACGCGCAGTCTTATAAAAAATATATAACTCGTTGCAGGGTTCAGTTCTCACAGGACCCAAAACAGTTTTATAATTCTGTTAACACTAAACGTAAGCCTAAAACAAATTCTTTCTCTCTTTCAATTGAACATACTACCGCAAACAATGATCAGGCAATAGCCGATATATTTTTCCAGTTCCTTAAAACAACTTATTCAAACTCTTCGAATTTAAATCAGACTTATTTCTACGTCATACCTAAATCGAACTTAATTTTCAGTCCTAGCCTAAACGAAAGCTCTCTTGTTTTCTATCTTCACCGTGTCAAGCCGGTTTATTTGCCAGGTCCCGACGGAACTCCTGGCTCTGTGTCCAGGTA